AATCTTGTTCAACCTCACATCTCACACATCTTGTTGCCTTTAATTTTCTAGCTTTCCTGCCTTGTTGCTGTGAAGCATAATGACGGCGCTATCCAGCTCTACGGCTTCCATGTTCGAGGTGGGTGAGGATGTCAGCACGGTTGCAAGTCAGGATAGGAGGACTGTCTCGTATCGGAGTGGTCAGTGTTGGTGCTGTTCCTGACACCTAAGGCAGTTCCCAGAGGGGGGTGCCCTGGGGAGCCCTCAGCAGCCCATACCGTCATCAGCAAGGGGATGCGTGCACAGGCCCAGGAGAGGGGATCTGGGTGGACCATCCATTACAGACGCAGAGTCCAAACATAGAGTGTCTTGTATGAAATTACGGAGTACTTGAGCATTATGCTATAATCAATGGAGAGCAGGTCAAATATTTTTCAATAGGAAGGGATGTGGTGAAATAAGTATGTTAGAAAGATCTGCTAGGGAGTAGGCTAAGGCTGGACACAGAAGGATGAATGCAGCAAGGCCAGGTGGGGAGCTGTGGCAATGGTGCACAAGATCAAGGTAATGGTACAAGGAAAGCTATTGAAATGGGAGGCTAGGTACTTAGAGGTGGAATCAACATGATTCCGGATCCACTGGATAATCTGTTGAATTGCAGAGGGGAACCAAAGACCAGTCTCAGAATGAAGACTATAGGAATTAGGTAAATAATGATAAAATTAATAAAAAATTGGGACTTATGGGCAGAGGACCTGGTGTTCTTTGGATTTGTGTTTTATCTATGTGATGTTATCTGACAACTGATCAGAATCCACTGTATCACCCGCATCCTTTGTTGACTCATAAATCTATTTTTCATGTTGTGCATAATTTCCAATTAATGTATTCATACCAGATGTATGTATTTAGTATGCAATATGTATTGGGCATGGTTTTAGGCAAAAAACAGGTGTGAAAGCCCGTTTTATACGATAAACTATGATTAGTAAGGCAACTGATGACATCCTTCATAATATTCTTGTGAACAAAATGAAGAGAGGCTGATTCCAGACAGCTCAGGGCAGTGGTAAGTGATTGGTTCTCCTGTTTAATTTGTGCTGGTTAAGGGAATGCTATTGTCTTGCAGAAAGACAAGCTTGGTCCTCACTTAAGCTTGGTCCTCAGCCTAACTTTTTAAAGCTAACTTATCAATTATTTAGGTAAAGATGGAGAAAGTATGTTTATCATATTTACTTGTGGAAGAGTGAGATAAATATGAAAACAGTATCTGTAATAATTTTGATTCTCTGGACAAAAGAGCTAAGCCTAGATAAAAATCTAACAAAGAAAAATATAAACTTGTATCTGGGGAAAAATATACTTGTAGAAGTACAAGACTGGAGTGATAAGAAAGTAAAAAAGCTAATGTGGCCTTTAGTTTATTAGTAGAAATATTGCATATGAAATATGAAAATGCCAATCTGTTTCTGTTAGATGTCTTCAGGAGGACATGACTGCTGGTTGACCCGTGAGCTAGAGCCTGGCAATTGGAGGCTCCTCACCTGTCGCCTGTCCTTGGAATGTACCTTCTGCCTACTGTTTGCATTGTTCCGGCGGTAGAAGCCGTTTTCAAGGGCACAGCCTTGAGAGAAAATGTGGTCTTGAGACCATCTGGATGGTATGCGCGACTGAACCCAGTTAAGGCTTTTACATAAATATTTATGATTCTGATTGGTGAGTGTGGAAATCTACTCATCTTATGTTCACCCGTGACAAGCCTCATATGAAACTTCCTCATGTGAAACTTCCCTTGCTTATTACACCTGCCATCGCCCAATCTGGAGTGGCTGCTTCTTTCTTTGGTCTCTCTGTGCACCCTGTGTTCCAGGCCAGTTTATAAAAACACAGTCCCTCACACGGTAGAGCTCACATACCTTCTGGTCTCAGTTGTGTCTGTCACATTTTACAGAAGCATTCACAGTGGACAAGGCAAAAACACTCAGGAAATGAGGGTTCTGAAGCCTGGAGGTTGTAATACATGAGGAAAGGGAGATGGAAATGAGAATGTTTACCCTGAAGAGTGCAGAATTATTTGGGGAGTAGGTGGACAGGTGGTGGGGCTGGGATACACATACAGTTTTAAAGATTTTAAGCAAGGCTCATGGCCAGGATATTATTTTAAATGATCCCTTGGAGTAGATCTGAGACTAATGGGTGAACAGATGAAAACTGGAAGTTGCTCCCAGGAAGGGATGTGTGCCTCCTGAATTTTGTTTTCTGACTGACTCCACCTAAGCATTTGACAGGTGTTTTGCACATTGTCAACAGATTTAGTCTTGGACTAGCTGACCTTTAAAAAAGTCCCTTAAGTCCTGAGATTCTGTGATTTGTGACCTGAGGAGTCAAGGACTATGTTCAAGGACTGAGATGCTTTCAATCCCTTTGAGTTTGGCCCCAGATGTGTGGGGAGGATCCTCCCAGGCACCCTCACTGCCTTTGCCCCAGAGTTATCACAGGGCCTTCAGGGTCAGTGAGAAACTAAGGGTCTTCCATGGAGCAACTGGGTCCCGCAGCTGCCCTCATCAGAAAGTGTGCCCTGGAGGTTTCTGCAGACTGAAAGGGGAGAAAGCAGGTATTCCCAAGGCATTTATACTGTAGCAGACGAAAAAATTAAAAAAAATTCAAAGTTTGCTGAAAGGAGAACACTCTAAGTTATTTCTTTTATTTTGACAGTTTCTGTGGATTCAAGACTTTCTACTGAGTCACCAGGTCAGCCACAATATAACCATTTCACTTTACTGAGAATATTATTTCTAAGTCTCAGTAATACAATGATCTGAATATTTTAATGCTCTCAGCCACCGAGAACACACTATCTTTATTTCACAGCTGCACCCTCTGAATGATAAGACTCCTCAATGTATACAAATGGTATGAAAATGCCACTGGTTAAAAAAATTGTTTTAATTCATGAGAGAAATGTACAACTATCAGGTCTCTATTTCACAGTGATTCTTTTTTCCTTCAAAAAATAAGTGAAAAGTAAGTAATTCATGACTCACTGATTAAAAGTCCCATGTTTTCATTGCAAATTCCTAGTCAGGCTTTGGAATTGATGTTTCCCTTCTACTATTCCCATATTCTCTGAGTCACCAAGGTTTTTAATGTTGGCAGGAGTGTCTGTTCCTATGTCCTCATAGTGTGGACACGTGGCTAGGGAGGAATTGCAATGCCAGAAGTTGAACTGGGAGTGAGTGTAAATAGGATCCTTACGTCCAGGCATCAGTAGCCCTAGTCCTAGGTCCACACTTTGCAAGCTTCTCAAATTCTGATGTGCAAATAGATTTCTCAGCATGCTGTTCTGAGGCAGCCTATGATTCAGTGAGTCTGGTGTGGGGCCTGAGAACCTGCATTCCTAACAAGTTCCCAGATGTGGCTGCTGCTGGTTCAAAGATTACAACCTGTGAATATCTGGTTTAGTGACTCCCCTCTGTCTCTCCTCCATACACCCCCTCCCCACAGGCAGAGTAGCTTATGAGATCCAGTAAATGTGCCAACTCAGAGCCTATTTCCTCTGCCTAAACCACTCTTCGGTATCCTGGACTCCAGAATTCCCTGCCCAGACTACTCTGTGGCCTGCGAATGCCTCTCCCCAGTCTACTCTCTGGATGCAGATCCCACCACCAGTGGGTCCCCATGTTGGCCTGAGGGTTGACAGAAGCTCAGTCATTTGGAGAGGCTAAGCTGAGCGGGCTAGGATGGGCCTCGGACAGAGCCCTGCCTGGTACAGATGGAGGCTGGGGATGCAAGAGGAAAGGCCTGGGCTCGGTTCTGAAGGCCCTCATTTGCCTTTTTGCAAATGGGATGGCCTTATATCTGTTCATGTAAATGACAGGGAGAAAGCCTCTTACAGCTTATCCTTGATTTTAAGGCCACAGAATCACAGCTTAGATGGTTCTGTTTCATGAGAAACCATTGCATCTAAAGTTCTTGTCTTAGAGCAAGGAAGAACATTTTCTGCCCTTTCATAAAAACTTCTAGTATCCTTTCCCTAGATGACCAGGCAGTGCAGGGGATGTTTGGGTTTTGAGGTCCTACACATTTCAGCTGACTCCCTCTCCAGTTTCTTGTGTGAACATGAGCAACTCTGTCCCTTTTGAGCAAGAGCTCATTCTTTGATCTTTATAATAAGAATGCTTCCCCATGCTCTTCCCCACTTTCTCCATGTCCATCCAATTTACCTCTATTCATTCTTCAGCCTTTAGCTCAAATGGCACCAGCCTGATGAGATGGGTGCCTCTTGCTAATTTGGAAGTCACCACCATCCTTTTCCATTGCACTTGCAACCCTGTTCCTCTTCTATTTGTGTTTCTATTTTGATTAACCTGATAGCCTGCTGGATATGAAGAGCAAGGGTCTCATCTCTTTCATGCCCTGCTGGGTCCAATCTGTCTGATGCAGAGTCTAGTACCTGAGAGATGCCAAATCTGTGTTTGCTGAACGAGTAAATGTCTGTGTGTCTATCACAATTAGAGATAAGATGTACTAAGCGATTGGCACATAGTAGGTGCTTAAAAAGTGATGCTGATGATTTTTCGGTGCAGTTGACACCATAATCAGACATTTTCTTTCATTTCCTCATACTTGATTCATGGGAGACGATGGGGTGAATTTGGGACAACTACAATTTGAGCTGTCCAAGTCAAGAAAAAAATGTAGAGTGATAAATGGCTGGCCACAATAACTAGAAAGCACAACACACTTTAAAGGCTTAAGAAATGAAAGACTGACAATTTAAAACAAAGAATTCAAAGTAGAAGAGAAAGTTGCATTTGCCAGTTTTGCTTACGCCCCCTTCCCCCCAACGACTCACACCCCAAAGAGCACATCTTCTTAAAAAGAATGTGGAGAAAGCAGTTTCCTAGGCCAGCGTTCCCGCTGACATCACCAGCCTCCCTCTTCCCCTTCCCAACTGGAGGATTATTTTATCTGTCCCTTTAATATTAGCCAGCCCAAATATTCTCTCCTCAAATATTTCTGGGGCCTGTACTTGGAGAAAGAAACGATTTTTTTCAAATCTGTGAACAGGACATTTTTCTTTAATGTCAAAATAAACCATCTGCTTGTACAACTGTTTCTAATTACTTCCCAGCCTAGACGCTCCACTTGAGGGGTTTGGTACCAGCACCCCGCCCAGAGCGGTGCCGCTGCCCGGGTCCTCACAGGCAGCTCATCGACGCACTGGCAGCTCGGGGAGAGCCTGGACCTGCGCGCCGGGGTGTCTGGGTCCGTCTGCCGGGCCATCTGCCAGGGGCACCTCTCCGCCCTGCAGCCTCCGCGAGTCCCGTGCCGCAGAGGCGCCGCCGCCTGCCCAGCGCGGGGCTCAGCATGCGTCCCGCAGGCTTCAGGAACTTCTTGCTGCTGGCGTCCTCCCTGCTGTTCGCGGGGCTGTCAGCTGCTCCTCCAAGCTTCTCGCCATCTCTGAGGTACGTCTGCTTTCTTATTCTTTCAAACAGACCTGCCCGGCTTTGCGTGGCAGGAGTCAAATTTGCAGGATGGCTGCCCTAAGCCGATGGCAGTGAGGAAGTTGGACGCGACATTAACTGTTGTCAACCTGTTTCTATTCTTTGTATCTACGCTGCGTGCTGCTGAGCCTCTGTGCTTGCTTTTCCTTCAGAAAAATACAGTCATTAAATAATACATAGCTTCCTACTCTTCCAAAACAGGCTAGGAGGAACTTCCACCACGAGTTAGTGGCAATCCTATGTGTGCCTGTATGTTCACACAGCCTATAAGGCAGAATGGTTTCCTGGAGTCTGTGTTTTACTTTGTATTACATTTTGAAAGAGACTTTGAGGCACATCGAAATAAACTTTCCAAAAGTACATACAGTTCATAAGCACTGCTTAACACAGCTTTGAAAAGCATTAGGCTGTATGTGATCCTAGCATGCACAGCTTTTTCTTTTTCATACAATAACTGCCCCTGGCCTTCAGAAAGCAATGGGACTTTTCAAAGAGAACTGAAAAGTCAGCCAAGTGTCATACTTCAGATTCACTTGTATTTACTATAAATGCGCTTTTAAGATTCAGTGACAGGCCGCCAAGACGCAGGGCTGGATCACCTTTGTTCCCCTGAGCACGGTCCTGTTCTTAGGGGGCTAGGTCACCGCTTAGACGTTTTGAGTCACAGCCATTTCTCAGGTGATGGCGGTGGGTGGTGCCCGCTTGGCCCCAAGAAAACGTGGGGCCTTGGGCTCCTATCCATGGCGTTGGCATCTCCATCCGGGTGGTCTCTGGGGGGAAGCGTGGGCTCGGAGCAGAGGGACAGGGTCTGTGCCTGACGTGGCCGTGCTGTGGTTTCTCGCCCCATGCAGAAGCGGGCCGGGGGCGGCGTGCAGGCTGGCCCGGGCGGAGTCGGAGCGCCGGTGCCGGGCGCCCGGGCAGCCCCCAGGGGGCGCTTTGTGCCACGGCCGGGGCCGGTGCGACTGCGGGGTCTGCATCTGTCACGTGAGCGAGCCTGGCATGTACTTCGGGCCCCTGTGTGAGTGCCACGAGTGGGTGTGCGAGACCTACGACGGCAGCACCTGTGCAGGTAAGGGGCGTGCCGCCTCCTCCCCGCGTCGCCCGGGCGCTGAGCGGGAAGTCGCCCCGGGGTTCCGGTGCAGCCCAAGCCCTCCCCAGACCCCTGGAGTTCCCTTCGCTGGGCGCCAAGGCCTGCTGTCTGCTCGTCTGATCTAGAATCATGCATTATAATACTGTCCTCTGCCCTGGGGCCCAAACTTCAGTGGAAATATTTGTAAGAATAAATCTGACTTGCCTCAATTTTAGTTCCTTATTACAGTCTAAGTCTCCTAACTGCCCCACACATGGAGTTAGTTATTTTGTTGCGCTCTTCTACCCTAATTGAGAATGGTAATCCTCGTATTTGAAGAACATAGCCTGGATTTTATTTTCCCCAAGGAAATACAGGGGAATATTACTTTCCTAAATTCCAGAAAGCAGGTTGTTTCCTTGAACTCTGCTGTGCCCTCACACACTGAGGGTATCATTCGCAGATAGCAGTGCATATCAGAAAACTGTACAAGGGAGAAATGAGCAGGCCCACATTTACTTGGAAGAGATTGTTTTTGTGTTGTTCTAGTCGCTTGAAGTTTTCAGCTGCAGTGAAACTTGGTATTTTGTGAAGGTGGAGTGAAAATATATTTATTTCCCTTGCACATTTTTAAGGAGTGATTCAGGTTCTTATATTGGAAAGGATCAAAACTTTTTTTCGTAGAGAATACCCTTAGCCTCTAACAGTTTTATGTAAACAGGTCGTTTACTTAAGGCCCAGTGCCTCGATTTGGTCATTGTGAATGATATAGGTACTCCTTTAATACAAGGACAACACAATGTTTCCACCCAGTGTTGGGCAAATTTGTAGGAAAAAAACCTCACAACTTATTTTATGTACAATGTAGCTAAGACTAAGAGTCCAACACTACAGAGATCAAGAATGAGTTTACAGCAGAATGTGTTTTTCCTGGTACCTGGGCCCAGAAGTGCATCGTAAGAAGGCTTAACATGCAGGCTGTTTGGCTGTGGAAACAATAGTCACATAAGTACTGTGGAGGCGCACAGGCGCTTTGCATGCTTTGTTTACCCTCTAAAAATTGTCTTTTAACTCGGTCAGTCCCGCAAGCTGCAGTATATTAAGGGCAGCCCTTGTAGTGAAAGTTAAGGACGGTCTGATTCATTCCAAATTCAACTGTCCCTTGGCTTCTTTTGCCTCTGGCAAGGCCTCTTCAACATCATCGTTCTCAACATGTTTTTCAGGGCAATTTTGTATTGTTCTTTCATTGGAAAAGTAAGAAATAAGATGGGTTTTCCACTGGCATAGGCATAACTAGTTATGGGTGCCATCAGAGAAAACTCCCCCACTGAAGGAGCTTGTCTGGCTCCTTCCTGTAAGCCTGTGGTACCTATGCACTTGTTGATTTCCCAGGGGAAGTGATTGTTGTTTACTCCTCTAGCATCGTTGTCACTGTGTTCCTTCCATCCTGATACAAAATGCAGCACCCAGTCACACGTGGAGTTGCTTATTTATGTGTGCATTCCTATAGGAGGTGAAATACTTCTCTTTATTTCAAGGCTGAATGAAGTAATTGTGTTCATTTTCCAGTGTCATTTTTCTGACTGGTGCCTGGCAAGGGCTGATCTACCAGATTTGCTGCCCCTGTGAAACTCTGGCTGCATTTGCCAGGCCAGTGGGAAAGCCCTGCACAGCATATTGGGCTGTCTTGCCAGCTTGCCCACTTGTTCCATGCTTCAAATTTAGCTTTGCAATTCTGTCTGCAAGAAATAGCACCTGTATTATAACCAGTGTAGAGAAAATGGAAGTTCCTATGACCAGGATACTCACCTGACTGTGGTTGGCTTGCTCACTGCAAACGTGTGGGCAATACATTATTATTGACTCTATATAAAGAGCTCTGCCTGGTACTCTGGGCTGCACGGCTGCAGGAGAGCAGAGGTTGGAGTGGTGGCAGTGCCGAGGACAGAGACTGAGACCAGCTTGCTGCATGCAGGCTTGCTCCGAGTGGACAGGATTGTAGCGCTTGACCTGCCTCCGTGGGAATAAAGTTAGGTATAAACCCTTTCACCCCAAGAATGTTCCATTGCCATTGTTTGGTCTCACCGAATCAAGAGTGAACTTGCCCAGGGCTGAAATGCACTGGCAAGACAGCCATTAAGACAGGATCACAGCAGGTTGTCTTTTCTGATTTTTGGCACCTGAGCCTCTGTGATAAGCCCTTCTCGTGCTTTTGTTTGAAAACAACATCCTGTCCTGGTAGTGTTCATAGAGTGATTTAGACTATGGGCTCTGGGGGATTTCCAGGATTCAATCCCAGCTCTACTGCTTAACAGCTGTGTGAATCTAGGCAGTTACTTGAACTTTCTGAGTCTTGATTGATATTTTTATCTATAAAATGGGAATAATAATAGTGCCTACCTTACAGGATTGTTTGTGAGTTTTAACATATGTAAAACTTAGAATAGTGTTTTGCACAAAGTAAGTGCTCAGTACCTATTACTGTGCATATATATTATATATATATATACATATATATATATATAAAATGTAATTATAATAGGGATGCACAACAGGTGAGTGGGTGTGGATAGATGGATGGATACATAGATGCTAGACAGATAAATAGTTTGTTTTGTATTTGTTGGACATTTGATCCAGTGAAAGCAATTTTGTTCTCCCAGTGTAGTCTGGACTTGTTATTGATCCACAGCTCAGAAGGTTGAGCAAGGATAGCTATTTTGGCCCAGCCTCAGAGCAGCTGTGGTAGATACACCATGCCCTTTTAAAGTTAAGTCCATTGGGATTCTTACACTGTGAATCATAAGCATACTTATTTTAGTTTGAGCTGATTGACAGTGATTATGTGTACGCTATCACAGGTGGTCTGTTCTTTCCAGTATCCACTGGTTCATGTCATGCATCTTCCTTAGACTTATAGAGCCAAAAGGTCTGGCTCAGTGAATGTTCCCGTGTGATGGTCTAATAAGGAGTAAACTAATTTTGATGAAATATTTAACAGTAAAATGTTTGATTATATAAAAACAAACTTATGGTTAATATTTCCAGGCATCTCTGAATAACTCCCTGAACAGCTATGATTAAACTTAAATAAAATATTGGTTTCTTAAAGATCTTTTCGAGACACAGTTTTGAAATATATCACTTGTAAGAGTTTCAGTTTTAGTAACTGGGAGGAGCTAATTGAGTTCAATTTAGCAAACACTTTTCAGGTGCTGTGTATTTGCTAGCCTCTGCATTTGCTGTTGAAGGGGATGTAAAGATGAGGAATATATGACAGCTCCCTGTTGAGTACGGAGCTTAAGAAAAATACTACCTGTAAGGCAATGCAGAATAGGGTTTCTACAAATTTCTTTGAGGGTTTTGTTGAGGCAGAGATGAAATAATATGATGAAAAATTCTTGAGAAAGAGGTAGCATTCGACACAGTCTTTAAGTAAGGAGTTTTTAGTCCAAAATGTGGGCTGTTGAAGTTCTGATTGAAGCAAAATTCAAGCAAAGTTTAGAGGCAGAAAAGCATGAGGTGTGTTTGGGGAATAGGGAGAGATTGGAGGGTTGGCTGGACTGGATCTTAGAGCCGTGGGGAAAGTACTAGAAGGTTTGTTTGGAGTTACAGATGGACATATCATGGACAGCTTTGACCCTGAATGTGAAGTTTGTGTTGAATGAAATAGTATATAGGAGCCGTGGAGCAGTTTGAACTTGGGAGCAGAGGTTAGTGCTCTGACTCAGGAAAACTAATATGGTGTCCAAGGGTGTGGCAGGTTGGGGTAGACACTTGATGGGGAGGAACTCAGTTTAGATGCTGTTAAAATTACAGTCCAAAGGAGAGAGGATAAGGCTAGAATCATGATGACTTGTAAAGAGTGTTGAAAGGTAGGATCAATATGTGTTAGTCCCCAAGGGTGAGTGAGATGGTGGGTCAGTGACTCAGTGCAGTAGGGCTGATGGAATGAAGAAGCCAGGAGAAAGAGCCACGTAACTCCTCATCAATGGCTAGAAGTACTTTTTAAAGAACAACACTTCTTTTATCTGAATTGCTGTAAAATGAGGAATTATTGCTGGCAGAATGAGTCTGAACTTTATCTGCAGAAGATCAGGGGCTAAATGGGAATCTTGTCTGAATGGTTAACTTGGGTTAGTTTGTTTGTATCCTGTTTAACCCTGAGCCAGTCATTTGGTTTTTCTGAAACTTACTTCTTTTTCTGGAACATCTATATGGAGGATAAAGAACTGTAGATCCTGCATGGTATTATTCACAGTAATTTTCATATTTATGTATAAATATATTTAATATCCACAAAATTTATGCATTTATACATTTATTCAAACTATATATAAAACATCCTTATAAACAGATTTATATGTGAACACAAATAATATAGAAATAACTAAAATAAACGGAAACACTCCTAATAAATATTAGTCATTTTTTTTTCTTGTAGGTATTTTTGACTTTTACTTTGTTAAGGAGCTAACATGAGAATCCTGTGTGATTATCCATGCACACTGGACTTTCTGGCTCTTTACGTTCTGTCTTAAGAAGGTTTAACTTGCCTTTTCCACACAGTTGCATTTTTCTTAGCTGAATAATTCCCTCCAAGTGTATTTTGTGGCATCGTTCTTTGGATCTCCTTTTCTTAGTCATTTTCCATATTCCACCTGTTCTTCCTTCCTTCAGACCATTCTTACTTGCCCATGTCTTTGCCTCCCAGCCCACCCTGGCATTGACCATCCTTTGGTCTTTTTCATATTCCCTCTTTGCTCCGTGCGGACACCAGGCATGTACGAATCCTAGGTGTTCTGTGACACCCTGTCCACGGAGTGAGTGTGTTAAGTAGACAGACTCTGGTTTTCACATGTTCCATGTTGCCTCCTTTCGTGTGTTGGCAGCATGGTCTGAACAGGTGTTGTAGTTTTGGAGGACACACCCAGGAGTCCCCCTCTGCTAGCTTGCCTGCTTCATGCAGGCCTCTTTTAGGAACTCTGCTTTCTCAGGTG